AGTCGGGAGGATTCCAGAGGAGGGAAGTCCAGCCGCAGTGAGCAGGCGGGGCGCGGGGCTTTGCTTGCGGCCCTCCGGGCCATCCGTCGGCAGCGGCCACGAGCCTGCGTCCATAAAATGAGCGCCATAAACTGCCCTCGGCTGAACATCAACTGGACACAGGATTGACCGTAAAAAGCGAAAAGTTTTTTTCTCTTTTGCTTCTCTTGCAGCAGTGCCCGACTATGAGGGTCTGAGGGGAGAGGGGAGGTAAGTAGTTCAGGAACACAGATTTACCAGCAGCATCCTATGCGGTCCGCCTCACATATAAGAAAGGGCATAAAACACCAGCACGCCCTCCCTCTCTTGCCCCTAGAGAAAAAAAACCCATCTTTCTTGTAGTTCCACTATACAGTATTCAAGGATATGTACGCGACTGGGGCCAGCAGTTCAGTAGTGAAGAGTGAAGTAAGATTCGCGGTTTTGAAAATATGGGCGTTTCATGACTCCAACAGGGAATGGATAGGGTCGTAGAGGGGCTGTGAACTTATGTAATACTACTGCACTGTAGCAGCGTCCCAAAGGCTTTCGTGCCTTCCGATCCTATAACTCTTAGAAACGAAACGATAATAAATAAAATTGCACGCTATCATCGTCAGCCCACTCGCGTCACATGAGTGTGTAGTACGATCGCACTTCCCTTCCTCCCCTCCCCCTCCCACACTGCTTCTACTCTTCCGCATCCATCCCCTTCTTAAGCCAGTCAGCTGGAACGTGGGAAGGGGGATGAGTTACGCGCCCGGGGGAGTGGAGGAGGGCGCCGAGGAGGAGCTGGGGCCGGGCCTCGGGCCGGGCCGAGCCACGCGTTAGGCCGGCGATTTATCGTTGACTTACGTCTCACGCCAGGTTGTGCTCGCACGCCCGTCATTAAGTGGTGGTCCTGGCTCCACGGCTGGCACGCCTGTGGGCACGGCTCGAGGCACGGTTGGCACCCTGGGCACAACTCAAAGCACGGCTGGCACCCTGGGCACGGCTGGCACCCTAGGCACGGGTCGAGACACTGCTGGCACCCTGTGGGCACGGCTCGGCTCGAGGCACGGCTCGAGGCATGCCTCGAGGCACGGCTCGAGGCACGGCTGGCACCCTGGGCACGGCTCGAGGCACGGCTCGAAGCACGGCTGGCACCCTGGGCACGGCTGGCACCCTGGGCACGGCTCGAGGCACGGCTCGAAGCACGGCTGGCACCCTGGGCACGGCTCGAGACACGGCTGGCACCCTGTGGGCACGGCTCGACTCGAGGCACGGCTCAAGGCACGGCTGGGACCCTGCTGGGCACGGCTCGAGGCGCAGCTCACAGCTCAGATGTACTTACTCGGCCCAGTACGGGAGCTCGACGCCTGCGAGACTCAGGGTAGGCCACCCCGCAGTGTACGCATGTACTTTCGGCAAGATGTTGCCTACCCATCAGGCGTTACGGGAGCTGTTCTGGCTGCAATTTTGACAATTTCCTAACGGCGAATGACGTAGGTACTTTCTGGATGATCACTACAGTACGACGGGGGACACGGCTAAAAGCACGGCGCTGTCGCACGAGGCGCGGCGTCTCGGTCCTTGGGTAGCATGACACGGAGCCCTCACATTTCACAGGAATCAAACGGACACGTCGTGCAAGAAGGTGCGATGTGGAACAAAAGGAATTGTGGTAGTGGGATGGTGGTGGAGGAACGGGAAGATGAAGTGAGCGTATGTGGTCCATGGTAGTTGTCTGCACTTACTGTAGAGCTGCGCTTCGGCGCGACTCTACATGTTACTTACGCGAAGTGTTATCAGCTCTCGAGTGCGAGTGCACCCAACTGGACGCCGGGCGGACGCTGGAGAGGGCTTATCGGTGTGGCCGGCCGGGTAGGGCGGGGGAGCTTCCCGAAGTGTGACGCGCTGTTCCGCACGGCACCAGCAAAGGGTAGGGGAAGTCAGCAGCAGCCCTTATAAGCCAAGCCGGGGAACCCGAAGCTCTGGGATCAGTCGGGGAGTTAACTCCAATTGGAGCTGAAGCTGTGTGACACTTGTGGCTGGCTCTCGTTAGTAGCACTCGGGGTCGGCCAGCAGAAGCAAAGACTCTAGCGGAGTTCGAACGAGATCTGCAGACACTTGTGGCTGGCTCTTGATAGTAGCACTTGTGGTCAGCGTGATCGTGTACATGTAGAGTCGCGCCGAAACGCAGCTCTACACTTACATACTGGCACATGTTGGGAATACCAAACATGCTACGTTCAGAAAAAGAATCTGGGAAAATTGGTCGTTCCTGGCTTGGCTATTAGCTTTCCATCACTGCTGGTCGGTTTTCCTCTTTTGCTGGCGATTCAATTTTCAATCTCTGACCTCAGCCTTTACTGTGCGCGCGACTGTGCCCCCCACTGGAAACAAGTCAACACGCCGGCGCATGGCGGTCCACATACAGGGGACTCGCTGCTGGCCCTCCCTCCCCCCGACCCGACCCGGCGCTTGATCTTCTGCCGAACAAACACAGCCATCACTCACTGCCAATAACCCGGCAGCCCGACCCCACCGCGCCCCGCCCCGCCCCGCCCCGCCGTGGACCGCTGCGCAGCCATATCGCTTTCCAAACAGCGGCCACGCGAAGGTAGATGTGTGCAGCTATCAGGCTATTTTAAAACGAGCAGGACCCAACGGAGCACACGCCGCCGCCGCACCCGATGTAGACTCGGTCATGAATTCGCCGAGGTGTTCCGTCACAAATACGATGGCTATGACGGGCCATGTGTGCCACATTTTGCTTATTTCGACGTGAAGTTCATTAACGCAACGCTGGTGATCCATATTGGCTTTGCGCCCCGCCGTGCGTTGGTCCGGCGGCCGGTCCAGCGTTGGGATACATTTGCTAATTTCGCGGCTACAGTCGGCGATTAGCTTCGCCGCTTGGGGCCTGGCGGCCTGGCGTTGGACTCGCCCCGCCCCCTCCGCACTGCAGGGGTTGGGGGCGCACGGAGCGAGCAGAGGGGCGGGCGTTTCGGGGAAAACAGAACAACGAGCTGATCCGAAGCACACGCTTACCGCGACCACACAGCCGGCGCGACGGTTGGGAGGTGGGGTTATTCTTTTATGCCCGACACCGATTTACGCCTGAACCGGACGCACGTCCAGTGTCCAGGTGTCAGCTGCCACGGACACGCGTGACACCGTGCAAAAAAAAAAATAATAATAATAAAATCCGTCTCTTCGCAGATCACAGACACCGAGTGGGAGCGGTATGAACAATTGCAAGCGTGTAAAACTTGTGCAGGGGTAAAATCTATTTTTCAGTGTTTACGGACATAGTATGGCCTCTTTGATTGTGCAACTTTGAAGAGGAGCTGCGGGAAAAAACATTTACTTCCTGAAATGAGCTTACCGCTCGTAATAAGCCGCCAAGATCTCCAGTGCGGCTCCGCTTCAACGGGTAAAACACGTCTCATGACAAATCCCTAAAGTTTTGGTCGATTACACTTACCTGGCTGTAGTCAGAGGCGGGGGGCCCCGGGTCGGAAGCGCCATAGGGTGGCATAGAGGCTCGGGGCGCCGCTCAGCTCAGCGCAAGCTCGGCGCGGGCTCGGCGTGGGCTCAGCGCGGGTTCGGTGCGGGCTTGGTGCAGGCTTGGCGCAGGCTTGGCGCAGGCTCGGAGCAGTCCCAGGGGTGCGGGCGCGGCCCCGCCGGCCGGAGCAGCGGGGCATCACGGGCCGGGGCGGACATTGCGCGCTGGGCGGACGAGGCCTGCAACAGGTGCACCACAACACCGTCACGAGGAGGCCGGCGTACTTTTTATGCCCCCTCCCCCCTTACCGCACACTTCCTCCTTTCCGTCTCGCTCGCTGTCACTCACATCCCTCCTCATCACTCCGGTCGGTGGGGCGGTGCGGGGCGCCCTCCTCCCCCCACGGGAAGTGATGCTCCACGACAACTAATGGCGCGTTTGCCGGCTGGCAGGGCGGGCTGTTGGTGGCGGGGGCATAGCGGGGCGAAGTAGGGCAAAGGCGGAGCAAAGCGGGGCAAAGAGGAGCAAAAGCGCCACCGAATCAAAGACGGGACCCCGCGGGGAGGGTAGGGACGCGACTACACACAAGGCGACGGGCCGCGCCCTCCGCGGCAGACTCGACCAGGGTTGTTGTAAACGGCGGCGAGTTCAACGAGTCCGAGATATTACTTATTAAAGCGCGAGGCCGCGTTGGTTCCCGTTGGCTCCTGCCCCCGTGGCCACTTCCACCTCTTCCTCCTCGACGGTGAGCTCCCCGAGAGGAAATGAGGGAGAGGCCAGGCATTACAACAGATAAGGCGGGCGCAAATGGTATGAATGTTTCATGCGTCTGCAGAGCAGCGCTCTTCGTGGGGTGAGCAGCTGCTGCTGCGTCGGCAGTGAAAACACTTTGTTTGCCCCGCTGTTTGGAAACGCCACATTATTGTACCGCAACGTGTGCCACTGTCGGGCTGGGAATGGCGCAAAGCTCGGGGCGTATATCTCCTGCCGGCCGCGGCCTATGGGCTGACAATGCCCCTGTGGTTGTGTGACGTGTGGCTCTATCCAATAAACCCAGGGCCATCAGCAGGCGCTGACCATACACCTGTCCTGCAGCCCCGGGCCCCGGGCCCAACGTCCCCCGGGGCCGTGGCGTGGCGTGGCGGGCCGCAGTATAGCCTGACGTGGTGTCCATCCCCCGCCCCCCATTTCGCAGTCCCATGAGTCCATGGGTCATGGGTCGCCAAGCATTAGTTTGACTGGCCTGCGGGCGCCGGCTGCTGCTGCCATGGCTGTGGGTGAGTAGCAGTGGCACTAGTATCAGTAGTACAGTATGTTGCCCGCACACTGTCAAAAACAGAGTACTATGATCAAATAGAATACATTTGCACTGCTTGTCTTTGATCAAGTAGACATTGTTCTTGATCAAAGAACCCAGTTTTTAGGGGTGCATGCCCCCTATCGTGATCCGCAGCCGGAGAAACTGAAATAATCTTTGCTCTTTCTGAAGCGGAATGTTATTCTGTCCTCTCTTTCCCTTTGAAGCGGCATTCCATTCCACCCCTAGTTCGACCCTGACACCCCCTCCCCCGAACGAGATCTGCAGACACTTGTGGCTGGCTCTTGATAGTAGCACTTGTAGTCAGCGTGATCGTGTACATGTAGAGTCGCGCCGAAACGCAGCT